ACAACAAAGTTTGTTGATTCTAAACGTTCGTGTTTAAATCAGCAATCCGATCGTCTTCAGTCCACATGAGGATCTTTGACAGCAGCTTCGCGAATGTTATTCAACATTAGGCGTTTCTTCATAGTCATGTTACTTCTATGCGACTTTGCGAGATAGATCAGCTTCCTCAATCGCGATATGATAAGTACGTTGATAACGTATCACAATTTTTCTTTTTATTCTTTCGTCTCTTCACCGAGTACGAAAAATCTACTTGAGTCTATGCTCGATATAATTTCAGTACTAACAATTGTTATCTAATGAGAATTTTAACAAAGTCAATATTTATCTAATAAATTCTCATACCTTTTCTGGAGCAAAAAGATGCGAGAGTCGTGGATTGGACTGACACATTTTTTTTTAAATTCAAATTTTGATCCGAAGATCGGTTTTAAAACCATTTGCTCCGATACCAAACTGTAACACCCTAATCCGTCCAGGTCTGCAGCCCCATTCGGACTAAAGTATTTAACTTGGTAATCGTAAAAATTTAAAACTTTTCAAACACACTTTATTAATACCAATAATATTTTTCATAACATATACAGTAGGAGTATTCAACAATATTGCGGAAGCGATTTTAATATTGACATATCATAAATTGTTTCAAAACTTGTCACATCCATCCCGAAAATCTCGCCCCATCTGCCGCTAGGATCACATTGTGCTTTCTGCTTACCTGCGTGTAGCAAATAAAACACACTACACGCTCAGCGGTAAAGCTGAGTAAGCATATCAAATGTGTCGAACATCCATATAAACTAAATCTAAATTCATAATCAATCATTTGATATCGTGCACACAATGTTCATTTCAGACATTCACAGTTTTGGTATTGTTCAGTTCATATTAACACATTTTATTCAATTCAGATACTATTGCAATAGTGCTCTTAAATTATTCTTAATCTAAGGCTAGATCATAACAACGCTCTTAGCTATTCTTAGTCTAAGGCCAGATCATAATAATGCTCTTAGCTATTCTTAGTCTAACGCCAAATCATAATTTCCATAATCACATTCTTAAAAGGCAATTATTAATCAGACACTTAAACTATCATTAGTTTAAGGCAATTGATTTCGGAGACTTAACTGTAGTCAGTTAAGGCAATCAGACACTTAAACTATTATTAGTTTAAGGTAAATGATTTCGGACACTTAACTGTAGTCAGTTAAGGCAACAACAATATAGCGATTGGTCAATAATGGATCGGGCATTCCCAACGAGTAATCCTCTAGTTTGGTCTACGAATCCTGTTTATGAATTTATATCTAATTCATCACCTATTCATATTTTCATAAGTTCATTCTAAGATCTATTCTAGAGGTCTTCTAGATAGTCTTAACATTAATTAGCTAATAGGTATATCTTATAGTTCTTCTAGATATCCTTAACAACATTATTCATCAATTCATACTCTTAGTTCAACAATCATTTCATCCAGAATATTCATCATCATTAATCCATAATATTCATAAAAATGAACAATCAATCAATCATCATAATAACTAATAACAATCAGCGGCCTAGCATCGAGTGTTAACACCCTAGCTTACCGTCATGCATCACATAAGATCCCTTTTAGTTGTTAAAATACCATCTTTATTCCAAGAAATCATCCTTTTATTAATCATAATGGTTTGGTATCAAAATATAGGATTCCATAACTCAAAAATCATATTTTCTAAATAACAATTGATTAATATATGATAGGAAATTGAATTATTAGCTATTAGCTTCATTTTCTTCAATAGTGTAGGGTGACAGTCTACTGTCACTTCTGATAATCTACTGTCTGATGTT